AGAGAGAGGGGGCAGCACCCACAGGCTCCTGGCATTGGGTTCCATAGGGAGTTTGGCTTCGTGAGCCGTAGTCTGCTTAATGCTTAGGGTTTCTGATGTGGTAGTCTTCGGTGGGAACTCTCTTGTGACTGGCTGAAGAATTCCAACTTGCTGCCTTGGCTATCACATAGATGTTTTGTATGGCGCCACAGGCTCAAGACGGTTCTGACTGCCAGATTCTAGAAAACTGTCCTTTGAGCACAGTGGCCCCTGCCATCTTCATCAGAGCAGCTGTGACCCATCAGGGAGCCTCGAGGTCGGGCCCATTGACCTATCGTAGGAAGGAGTCAGAGTTAACAGACCCTTTCCTGAGATCTCAGCCAATCCCCCCTGGGTCTCTGCCAGGGGGATGTTGCTGTGCCCCAGAGGCCTGTGGTCTTGTGGTCTTGGGAGGAGGTGGAGTGCACAGATGTGGAAGAGTAAGTCAGGTAGGGACTCCTGCACCTATGGGGAAGTTGTCATCCATGCTGGGCTGAGACTTTTCAGTGATATGGGTGCCTTGGGGTCCCACACTCCTCCTGTAAGTAGGTATTGTTGGAAGGGGGTGGAAGGCAGGAGGTGGGGCCTAGTTGGAGGAAGTAGGTCTCCATGGGTATGTATGCCTCTAGGGGCTATATGTTAGCCTGGTCTCTTCCGTATTCCATTCTCTCTGCTTGTCTGCCTAGAAGCGTACATCCTCCTCTACCCTATGTTCATAGTATCATGACGGTCTGCCTCGACTGTGAGGCCAAGCCCTCCAATCTGTGAGTCAAAATAAATCCCTCCTGTCTTAAGTGGTGTGTGTCAGCTATCACCCCAGTAACATAAGTGACTTAAACAACAGCTGTCTGTCCCCCATCAAGGCAGACACCCCAGAGCATCCCTGTGCTGGTTTCTTTTCTCAGGCTTATTTCAGCTTGCCAGCAGAGGGTAGAGGGAAACGGGGGCTTGGAGCAGCTGGTCATGTCTGCCCACAGCTGGCCATGCCCTCCACAGCTGGCCATGTCCGTCCGCAGCTGGCCATGTCCATCTGCAGCTGAGAAGCAGGAGGGACGCTGACGTTCAGGTCACTCTCTGGGACTCCAGCATCCTGTGAATGCACTACCCACATCAAGGGCAGGGCTTCCCGGCTCACTTCACCCAATCTAGAAACTACCTCGTGGACATCCTCAGAGAGTTGTGTCTTGTGATTCTGGAGCCTGTGGCGGTTCACGCTAACTGGCACAGCCTCCAACACCACCGCTCTTCTTTTCAACTGTTTGGTGTCAAGCTGACCCTTCAGGCTTTTATGTATTCTCCCAATTTTTTGTAGCACACGTATATACTTTTACAAGTATATATATATACACCTGTCTGCGCTCTATGCGCCACCATACAGTTCGTGAACTGGGCAAGGGGCTGGAGATTGAAACACACAAACACAGACAGAGACACGGGTCATCCTTGAAGTCAGAAAGCCCCAAGAATGCCCCCTTTTTTGTGTCCAGGGGCAGCTTATATAGGGATAGCCATGCCCGAGCCAAACACACCAGAAACTACTCTCCTGCCATCAAGAACTCCTGAGGGTCTCATGTTCAGAGCAGCTGTAGGCACTCAGATCAGGGGAAAACAAGTTGTTTACAAGAAATTCAGAATCTGGGGATTCACAGCGTCCAACATTTATTTTTTAACTCTCCTGGGGGAGGGGCAAGTGGTTGTAGATGCCAGGAAAGGGAGAAAGTCACATCCCCAAGAACTGAAATTTATAGGTAGCAGTGTGGGTGTTGGGAATCAAACTCGGGTTCTCAGCGAGAACGACAAGTGCACTGAAGTGCTGAGCTGGTCTTGAACTGACAGCCATCCTCCTGCCTCAGTCACCTCAGAGTATTAGAATTACAAGTATGAGCTATCATACCCTCAAGAAGGAACAATTTCAGAGCAACCTGGTATGCAAAGCGTGTTGAGATTTCTGTGGCAAAATATGCTGGACAATGAAACTGAAGCCGCAGAGGAAACCTGGGCCGCTGAGGTCATCAGGCCAGCAAGCTGATGCTATGGGAAAAGGATCTGAGGGCGATTAAATTACAGCTTGGATGGAGAGAATGGCCAGGAGTGGAAAGATAATGCCTGTTTTTCCTTCTACATAAAAACACATGACAAAGAGGTAAGCTGGATTCTCAGACTCCATGATTCAGAGTCTCGGGGCCTTGAGTGATTCAAACCCTTAGGGTGCGTTTCTCGGAAAGATCTAGGCAGGCTCCCTGAACTTGGGAAAGACTAAAGAACAACGGAAGGGTGTGTCTTTGAGACAAAGGAAGAACCATCTTAGTTAGGCAGTAGTTCGTGCTGCAGGGTGGAGTGTGAGGGTCCGGAGCGTGGAACCATGGGGAACCAGCAGCATGTGGCAGCACTGGAGGATGCTTGTGAAAATGGAACTTCACTGAGGCGGCAGGTTAGCCAAGCTTCACCAGGACTGCCCTGCAAATGCTGCCTCTTCCTTTCCAGACACCCACTACATTTTTTGTGCTTTTATCTCATCACTTTACATCATGTTATCTAGTTATTTTTAAGTTATTGAAACTCTCATTTTAATGCAGAAATGCCTGCTTTCTTTTCTTTTTCTTTTTTGGTTTTTGGACAGGGTTTTTCTGTAGCTTTGGAGCCTGTCCTGGCACTAGCTCTTGTAGACCAGGCTGGCCTTGAACTCACAGAGATCCGCCTGCCTCTGCGTCCCCAGAGCTGGGACCACCACCGCCCAGCTCTGTTTTCATATTAAAAAAAAAAAATCTAAGAGATTCCCTGCCCCCTCCCCATCCCCATAAATTAATACTTGCCCACCCTGAGCAGGGGCTGGGTTCCTGAGTGTTAGAATTGTGTTCTCAGTCTCCTTTGCCTCTCCTCACTTAGCCCAGCCTGCAGGGGCACCTGACCTCCAGTTCTTAACCACAATGCTTCCCAAAATAGCTTCAGGAGAGAATGATTTGCTCCCTAATGTTCCCAGGGATTTAGTTTTGCCAAGGGTGGGCAGGCAGTAGGTTCCACGAGCAGGGCTTGTATGAGACTGAGATCTACTTGGCCATGTTCTTCACCAAGAATTCCCAGTATGGTTCTGCAGGGACTAGATGTCCCTAAGTTGGGGACCCAGCATGTTGCTCTTCTGCTTACCTCATTTAGTGCTGTGTTCCAGGGCCCCCAAAGGCAGACAGTGGGTTGGGTTTGCCACCCATTCTGCTCCCCCCACCCCCCGCAGAGCTTGGTGTAGGTAAGTTAGGCATGAGCCTGGCGCTGCCTAAAGTCAGTTTTCTGCTTGTGGAGGCTGTCCCATTAATCTACACACTCCTCTGCTGGAGTTTCAGGTGTTTGGAGGATGGTCTGGGAAGCTTGAGTGAGAAACGGAATGGAAGGCCAGGGTCTGGATCCTCCAGGAACCCTTTGGCACAAATGCGAGTTGCCAGGGCCAGTCCTAAGGCCACAGGAACCACATTTCTCTGATCTTTCTCTTCGTGAGATTTTTTTTCAGTGATCCCTTCCATCCAGGTGCTGAAATCATCTACCCTCCTTTCCTTCCTTTTTTTCTTTTTCCTCTTCCTCCACTTTTTGGTTCTTTTAAGACAGGGTCTCACCATGCAGACCAGGCTGGCCTCTAACTCACCAGATCCACCTGCCTCTGCCTCCTAAGTGATGAGAACAAAGGTGAGCGCCACCACCAAGCCCGGGGTTGACCCTCTCTCTTTCATGTCTATGTTATGGAAAATACTGGCCAGCTTTTGGGCTGGGGTGGCAGGGTTTGAGGGGAAGGCAGACAGAACAGGGGCAAGCTTTCCAAAAGCCTTACCTACTAGTGCTATGAGGAACGGGTTTCACAGAAGAGGAAACCTACTGAAGAGTTTAATTGAGAAATGCTTAGTGTTCTGAGGGGTGGGGGACGGGAGGGGGGAGGAGTTGGGAGATTGGACATTCCCCTGGGGGAGAGCTTCCAAAGCTTTTAAAAAGATCTGAGGGATGAACATAAGTATAGTTAGTTAATGGGCTGGTTAGCCAATATGTGGTATCGTGTGAGACACTTCCAACTTCCTGGAGGACCTGGAGGGAGCCAGGTCACCTGAAAACAGCTGTATCAGTCATATCAGGTGGGGAGGGGAATGAGACGGTGGGCAGAACTCTGGAACCCAGAACTAATGAAGGCTGGTGGGAGTTAGGAAGACCCACTCTGTGTGTGTGTGTGTGTGTGTGTGTGTGTGCGCGCGCGCGCGCACGCGCGCGACTAGGAAATCGGTGTCACAAGGCACTGTGCAGGGACCATTACCAAAATGGGGTTGCTAATGGTGTCTAGCTGAAGTGGACAGGGATCAGTCGTGGCATTTGGTGACTTTCCAGAGACACTTTTCTGCAGAGGTGGGAGGGACTCTGGGAGAGATGGTGGGTCCTCGGAGAGCTGGAGGAAGGATAAGCAGAGGCCGAGCAGTCTTGAGATAATAAGCCATGGACACCGGATGGCAAACACCTGTCTCCTGGGCCCTACAAGGAGGAACTGAGCTCCCTTCGTTGGCAAGAGTGGGCAGTGCCTTCCAAAGGTGCAATTGTGGTTTATTTCTCTGAGTGATTGCTTATAATGCCAGGTATGGGTTATAAGTTGGCTTTCATAAAAGTGAATGACAGGGAAAAATATTACCTGGGGCACTTGTGAAAAAAATACATGCATTTAGCTGGGTGTGGTGGCACAGGTCGGCTGGGAGGTGGAGGCAGGATCGAGAGCATAATGTCATCCTCGGCTGCACAGTGAGTTTGACGCCTGCCTGGGCTTTTTGACACTGTCTTAAAACAGAACATCCTAATCCAAACCAACCAAATAAGCGAAGTCTCCACCTCTTTTAAACAGAGGAACGATGCTGAGGGCAGCAGGACTGCGCATCCTAGACACCTCGGCACCTGCCACTCCTTCTACTCCGCCCTCCATGAGGTGGAGCCAGAGAAGCCCCGCCCATATCAGACCCACGTGACCTGTCAGTTCCTGAGTCTCCGGAAAATGGCCGCCGGGTGTGGTGCGGGCAGAGCGCTGGGAACCCTGCTCTCTCGGCGTCGCCTCTTCTAACGAGGTCCGTGGCGCGGCGAGCCGATTCTGCCGAGCCGAGGACCGGCTGTGACACGGTCAGTGCGGAGGCGGCGAGGCCGGGAGAGGGAGGGCAGCGGGAGGGTCCGAGGCTGGCGGGCGGCACCGGTGGGGGGGGGCGGGTGACCCCGAGGCCGGTGCGGGGCCTCGGGGCTGAGAGGGCCAACGCGGGTGCGGTCGGGCGGGGCGCTCCGGTGCGGCGTTCCCGGGGGAGGGGGTCATTGGCGGGGACTCCAGGCCCAGGCGGCTTCCATGGCTGTCATACCCATCACCATCACCTGGTGAGTCCCCCCCCCTCACTCAGCAGGTGTTGCCGAGGCTTTTCCTTTGCTTTGGGGGGGGGGGTGTTGTTGTTTTCTTCTGCGCTGTCATCGCGGAGCCCACTGCCCCATTGTCCTGTGCTGGCTTTTAAACGCCCCGCAAAGCCCCTGGTTAGGACGCGTCCATGTTCGCTTTGTCAGCCAGCAGTGTAGGAATTTTTTTTTTTTTCAGGTTGCTTTCACGTATTGAAAGATTTAAGCCGGGTTTAGAACATTTTCTTATTAATAACTGTGTGGCTCTCTGCTCGCTAGAAGTGTTTGCTAAAAATGTAGCGGCGTTCTCTTGTTTCTCAGATTCCTTTGCTGTGGGGTGTGGCTGGGGGAAAACCTCTTGGAGGTGATCCTCATAGGTTAGTCCCGGCTCTCACATTTCGACACCAAGAAAAACAAGGTATCTCATTAAAAGGAAGGTTCCCCCCCCCCCCTCTCTCTCTCTCTCTCTCTCTCTCTCTCTCTCTCTCGGGCGATTGGATCTCTGGTGCAGAGACGAGAATGAAAAATGCTGTCGCAAGGTGTGTTCTTTGTTCTTAATCTTTGATCTCAGTCTTTACAAGGACAGGCTATTTCATCGGACTCATTTTGTGGTCTTTTTTTAACAATCTGTTTCTGTCCTGGCGGTGCTGGTGCAAGCCTTTAATCCCAGCACTCGGGAGGCAGAGGCAGGCGGATCTATGTGAGTTCAGATCCAGCCTGGTTTACAGAGTAAGTTCCAGGACAGCCAGGGCTACATAGAGAAACCCTGTCTCGAAAACAACAACAACAACAAGGGAAAAAAAAAAACCAAAAGCAAAACAAAACAAAATCTGTTTCTGAGCTCCACCACAGGTCTGCCAAAATGGAACTCTCTCTCTCTGGGTTAATGGTATTGTATACAATATTCGATATGCTTTGCAAATAATTGATGTGCACACCATTTAGGGTCCTTTTAAACAGTCTCCCCTCCCCTCCCCTCCCCTCCCCTCCCCTTCCCTCCCCTCCTCGCCTCTTCTCCTCACCTCTTCTCTTTTCTTCATATATGGCCATGGCCTGACAGATTAGCTTGCCTCTGCCTCCCAGGTGCAGGGGATAAAGGCTTGTGCCGTGTGCCGGCACATCAGGCTCTAATCGAGCTCATTAGGGGCACTTAAATGTTTGTAGCGACCAGAGCACTCCCCAGTCCCAACCAGAGCCCAGGCTGGGTGGTGAGAAGGGGCAGATACATGTGAAGAAATGTCTGCTGCCTTTCTTCCTGTACGCTCTCATCTCCTTCTCCATCTTGTAGTAAGCTTGGGTGCGCTTTAGCTGACATTCATGGCAATCCTAACATTGCCACCTATATTTCTTTCCAAGTCATATGGTTTGCTGTTATTTTTTTTCCATCTAGAATATCTCTGGATATTTTGTTCAACTAGAAATTAAAATATTTTGTTTTTAATTTCCTTGAAAAGAGATGTCATATCTCTTTTATTTTTACTGCCAGATTCCTTTCCTGTAGGTTTCTGTTTTGGTCCCTAAGTCATGCTTAGAGTCCTGGTTCTTTAGTTTNTTTTTTGAGACAAGGTTTCTCTGTAACTTTGGAGCCGGTCCTCAGTTATGGAACTAGCCCTTGTCCTTGTAGACCAGGCTGGCGTTGAACTCACAGAGATCCTCCTGCCTCTGCCTCCTAAGTCCTAGGATTAAAGGTGTGTGTCACTACCACCCGGCAGGTTCTTTTTTTTTTGTTCTGGGTTGTGTATATATACACTACTAAATTTAATTTTCTATGATCCTGCATGAGTGTGTTATCCCCCTCTTCCAGCTTTTGCTGAAGAATGTCAGCTTTTTTTCCCCACTGAATTCCTGAGTGTTTAGAAGGCATGAGCAGAAACCTTAGGGAAAGGAATCTCACAGGGGCCTCTCTGGTTCCCTTAGGAAGGGGGCCTGCTCCTGTCTGTAAGGTCTCATTCTCTGATGACTGTGATCCTACACTTCATCCATAGTGACATCCATAATTCCAGTTCTGGACTGGCCCACCTTATCTTCTGAGCGTGACCTGTATAGATTGTTTGCATAGCCTTGCCTGTGGTTATGGCAGAGAACATTCTTGTTGAGGGGTGACAGGGGGCCTGTCTGTGGACAAAGCCACCCCCTCCCCAGAAGAGGCATCCTTTATGTACCTATGAAGTTATTCGGCTTGACAGTGGGATTCTGTTTGCTGGCATAGTTTCTGGAGATAGAAGAGAATGGAGTTAGCCTTTAAGCTTGAAGAGATACAGGTCTAAGCCATTGTGGACTTTGAAGCTGTAGCTGTCAAAGCATGCAGGACATGCTTTGGTTTGCTGGGAGTATAGCCTCTGGCATTCCGTGTTGATGCGCATTCTACCAAGATTGGGTTGGTTCTACTGTTAGAAATTGAGCAGTGAACGGAGTCCTTATTCTTACTGAACTCTTTGCTGGGGTAGCAAGAGCAGGCTAAAAAAGTAAGTGGCGTGTTGAGTCATGCTGAGTGCTATCCCAGATAAAGCTGAGTTCAGGAATGGTGATAGTGTTGGCGGGTGATGGCTGGTTTATACTTAGTGGCTGGAGTGCTTTGTGTCAGTTGACATTTTTTGGGAACACAAGACAGCCTGAAGAAAGTGAAGTAGAGTGGTAGGAGATGAGCCTCGGGAAGAGGAGAAGGGTAGGTCTAAGTGAGAAGTGAGGCTGGAGCTAGGCTGGCCGTGCAGGAATGCCATACTGTGCTTTAGTCTAGCACTGGACGGTGCTATATCCTTAACAGCTGAGACAATGCATTTGTAGTTCTTACTCCCTCTCCATATATGTACAGACACTTTTTAATCAATACAGTGTTTAGAAACATATTGATTCCCTGTATGAATTTGTCCGCCTGAGTTTGTGCACACCATTTGCATGCAGTGCCTTGGAGGCAAGCTCCTCTGGAGCTAGAGTTGTAAGAGGCCTGGAACTGGAAACTCAACACAGATCTACTATGTGTTCTTGTAAATAAAGTTATGTGATATTTAAAATCTTTATCCACGTTTTTCCTAGTTTTAGAATTGCTTCCTAGGTGTGAAATTATTGGATCAAATAACTTTTTTTTTAAATTAAGGCATATTGACATGATTAATTTACATGCTACAGAATATACCCTTTTGAGGGTATGGTTTTGAATTTTTGTTGTTGTTGTTTTGTTTTTCAAGGCATGGTTTCTTTGTGTAACAGCCCTGGCTGTCCCGGAACTTGCTATGTAGATCAGGCTGGCCTCAAACTCACTGAGGTCAGCGTGCCTCTGCCTACTGAGTGTTGAGATTAAAGGCGTGCGCCACCACCTCCCAGCATGGTCTTGAATTTTGACACATCCAGGTAATTATGTAACACCAGCACAATTGAAGTAGAGAATAGCCATCAACTTTCCCATTCTCTCGCATTCCTCAGCAGTGTCTCACCTTTTGTCTTGTACCCTAGCAACCTCCAATGTGTTCTGTTCTGTCCAGGTAGTTCTTGTTCCAGAAGGTCATATTTACATGAATTCATATAGTGCAATAATAATTTCTTCCCACTGGCCCCCAAAATAGACTTTATTCCTGCATATAAAACTTGAACCCTATCTCAAGGACCCCTGGAGTCAACTCCCTTCTGTTCCATTAATTCACACAAAGTTCTAATGCCATCTTCTAAGTCCAACATTAGCAAGGAGGCAGTGACTCGGTCACCCCAGACTCTCTGTGAACCTGTGGGATTCAGTCAGGCACTCTGCTGGTACCTGTCCGTAATCACATCATTGGGAGGCAGATGCAGGAGGATCTAATTTGAGGCTAACTTAAAAATTATGTATTAAGTACCTGTCTCCCTCAATCAGAATATCTCTTTCCTTGCTCTCTGTCCTTCCCCCATCTCAACTATTCTGTTCCTCAAGTTTTCCTCCTCCCTCCCTTTCTCCCCTCCTTCTTCCCTTCTGCAGGCCCTTTACCCCTCACCCCCATGTTCCCAATTTTGTCAGGAGATCTTATCTATTTTCTCTTCCCAGGGGGATCTATATATGTTTCTCTTAGGGTTAACCCTGTTACTTAGCTTCTTTAGGGTTGTGGACTATAAGTTCATTATCCTTTGCTTTACAGCTAGTAACCACTTAGGAGTGAGTACATACTAAGATCACCTTTCTGGGTCTGGGTTACCTCACTCAGGATGGGTTTTTCTAGTTCGATCCATTTGCATGCAAATTTCAAGATGTCATTTTTTTTTTAACCACTGAGTAGTACTCCAGTATGTAAATGTACTACATTTTCTTTATCCATTCTTTGGTTGAGGGGCATCTGTGTTGTTTCTAGGTTCTGGCTATTACAAATAATGTAGCTACGAACATAGTTGAATAAATAAATGCCCTTGTACTTTGTTTGAGAATCCTTTGGATATATGCCCAAGAGTGGTATTGCTGGGTCTTGAGGCGACCTGCCCAGCAGGTCCTAAGTTACTCCAGGGTCTTGAAGAGGCACTATCTGAAAGACATGGGAGGAAAGAGAAACGGACGCCAAGCAGTATTCTTTGTCAAGGTATCCCCTTTATTGAAGCAAGTTTCATGTCTTAAATACTCAGAAAGGAGCTCGGGCAGGGGGAACTGAGGAAAGGGGGAAGGGAAGGAGGGGCTCGGTAGCTAGGCAACTAAGTGGGGCAGTTTGGCAGCTAAGCAGGGCAGTTGCAAGGTCAGTGGCTAGAACACCTGCTGTTAGTGATAAGCAGCAAGAAGACACTCTGTGGTGCTTTCCAGAGCTTGAGTCTCCAAGGTTAGCACACAATGTTTTAGTTAACTTTAAGTTTTCTGTCTCAAGGTTTTTACTTCAAGGCCCTGTGAGATGTGAGAAAGGAGAAGCCTGAAATGGCTCCTGACATCGAGGTAGTTTGATTCCCAGTTTTCTGAGAAACTGCCATACTGATTTCCAGAGTGGTTGTACAAGTTTGCATTCCCACCAGCAATGGAGGAGTATTTTCCATACTCATTCTCTCCAGCATAAGCTACCATTGGTGTTTTTGATTTTAGCCATTCTGTTGGGTGTAAGATGGTATCTCAGAGTTGTTTTGATTTGCATTTCCTTGATGGCTAGCAAGAAACCTGGTACTAGAGAAATTCCCAGGAATCCACAAGGATGACCTTAGCAATAGTGGAGAGGGTACCCAAACTGGCCTTGTCCTGTGATCAAATTAATGACTATCTTAAATGTCACCATAGAACCTTCATCCAACAACTGATGGAAACCAAGACAGAGACCTGCAGTGGAGCACTGGCCTGAGCTCCCAAAGTCCAGCTGAAGAGTGGGAGGAGTAAGACTAGGAGCAAAGAGGTCAAGGCCATGATGGGTACACCCACTGAAACAGTCTACCAGGCTAATGGGAGCTCATCAACTCCAGCCGGACAGGGAAGGATCCAGTATAGGACCAAAGTAGCCCCTCTGAATGTGGGTGACAGTTGTATGGCTGAGGCAGACTTAAGGGCCACTGGCAGTGGGACTAGAATTTATCCCTACTGCTTGTACTGGCTTTTTGGAACCTATTCTCTTTGGATGGATACCTTGCCCAGCATAGACATAGTAGGGAGGGCCTTGGACCTTTCTCAGAGCATTGTGCCTTACCCTCTCTGAGGAGTGGGGGTGGGGGTGGGGGAAGGTAGAGGAAATGGGAGGAGGAGAGGGAGTGGGAACTGGGATTGATATGTAAAATGAAAAAAGATAGTTTGTTTTGTTTTTTTTAAAAAAATAAAGTGAAAAAAGAAAGAGCCTATCTCAAGAACAGACACAAAAAACTAAACCAAAACAACCAAACAGAGAAACAAGTTATCTGAAGGAGCAATTTAATTCTCCTAGCAGAGGTGAAATTTTTGTTTTTCTTTTTTTTAATTTTGATGAACCCCAATCTATCAGATTTTTCTTTTTTTACATACTGTTTTTGGTTTTATGTTAAGGCAGTTTTCTTGATCAGAGGTTACAGAGACAGTGTTCTTTTTAGCAGCAGTTTTGTGCTTATGTGGTACATTTGGTTCATTTTGAGTTAGAATCTGTATAGTGGGCGAAGGAAGGACTGATGGTTTTACATTTAGATGTCTCTTGAGTAGAATGCAGTCTACTTAAAAACAGTTTTAGATTATTCTTATTTATTCTTTGACAATTTAATGTATGTATACAATGTATCTTGGTAACACCCACCTCATCCCACCCCCTCCACTTCCTCTAGACAACCCTCCTTTTCCCAGCTTACATCCTACTTGTGGTAGTGCACACTGAGCAAACTGAGTGCTTTTCTAGTGGTGGAGACCGGTGGAGAACAAGCAAGTGGTCAAGGCGTGGGAGTGTGGGGTTACTGTGGGGCAGCTGAAGTTATTGCTCTCAGACGTCCCATGGTAGGCTACACTTTGTCATAGTGTGGCCTGCAAGAATGAGACCAGCACATCTGATGAAGAGAAATTTGGCAGACAAGCTGAACACAGATGCCTGGGTGGGATAGGCCATGGGTTTGTAGTGAAGGGACAGAGGGGGAGTTGTAGAACCACAAGGTCTTGGGTGTTAAATAGGTGAGAGGCCACTCCATTTACAGTCCTCTGCTGAGATGAAAACATTTGATGTTTTTCTCTTCCGAGAAGCCAGTAGGGCTTTGAGCAAAAGAATTCAGTTCAGCTCAGTAAGGCTCTAGTACACATTTCAGTGACAGCGTCAGTCACTTGCATGCTGGTCAAAGATGCAGATTCAGGGACCCTGCCAAGACCTGCTGAGTCGGGGGCTCTGAGAGGACAGGGATCTGTGCTATAAGACCTCCCAATGATTCCGATGCATCCATGCCTGAATGTTCTTTATTTTTGATTGATAAATACTAATTTTATATATTTGTTTCCATGTGTGCATACATATGGAATGATCAGTTCAGGCTAATTAACTTGTTAATCACCTCACATCTTTATAATTTCTTTGTGGTGAGAACATCTTAAAATCAATTCACTTGGCTAATTTGAAAAAACACAATATGCTACAGAACTGTTGGCCCTGATCCAACTAAAACTTTGTACTCTTGAACCAACATTTCCTTTTCTGTCCATACCCACACTTCTGTAGCCTTTGCTAGCTCATCTAGAAGCTCACTGTGGGGTGCTTTATAGACAGAGAGGGTCAAGGAGGCTGAGTGGAAGCTGTGAGATGTCAGGACGGCTTGTAGGCTGGTAGTGATGGAGGCAGTGACAATAGATAGGAATTACTTTTTGTAGATAGAGCTAGAAGGGCTTGCTATTTTAGGTTGGTTATATATTAGATTCAATGTCATGTGAGAAGGAAGGTTAAGTCATAGGCCTGGGCCCTGGAAGGATAGAGCTGGAGTTCCAAGATGGGGTCAGCAGTAGGCACAGTGGAGCACCACTTCCATTGTGCTTGGGGAGCTGTTGAAGCTCAGTAGCATCCGGCTTGGGTTTTTGATGAACTAAGTTTGATATGTACTGCTAGTCTGGGAAAGGACATTGTAGTGATACTTTGTTTGTAACCTAACAAAAAGAGCTTGTCTGAAGATCAAAGTGCAGAGCTAAAACCACTAGTTAGCCATAGAGGCCAAGCAGTGGTGGCACACACCTTTAATCCCAGCACTTAGGAGACAGAAGCAGATGGATTTCTGTGAGTTCAAGGCCACCCTGGGCTACACAAGTTTGAATCTGCCTAAAAGAGAAAAAGAGCCCACACAAAGGGGATCCCAGCATTTGGGATCCCATGCCTTTAATCTCACAGCACTAGGGAGGTGGAGATAGGAGTGACAGGGCTGGGCAGAGAGAGGAATATAAGGTGGGAGGAGACAGGAGCTCAGTGCAGTCTGAGGATTTGTAGAGACGGGATCACCCCTTCTATCTGAGCACTGGAAGAGGTAAGAACTTTTTAGTGGCTGGCCGCTCTGCTTCTCTGATCTTTCATCATTAACTCCTATATCTGACTCCTAGTGTTTATTATTAAGAACAATTGGAATTCGTGCTACAGGACGTCTTTTCAGCATTATGACAGTTGAGGTGTAGGGATTTGTTTATATTTCTACCATTGGAAGTGTATCCGAACACATTTAAGGGTAAAAGTGAAGGATATTTAATAATCATTTTGTACATTTTGTCTGACTTTTTTACAGGTGAAATAAAGTCGACTATAGATTTCTGTGAAAATGTCGGTTCTAATATCACAGAGTGTGATAAATTATGTGGAAGAAGAAAATATTCCTGCTCTGAAAGCTCTTCTTGAGAAGTGCAAAGATGTGGATGAGAGAAATGAGGTGAGGCCGGGAGTAGACTGCTCTCTGCACGAGGCGCAGTGCTAATGATGAAGGTGGGAATAGGTGGCTCTCCGCTTCAGTGGACGTATTCATGATGCAGCTTCTTCTTGGAGTATTTTGGATTTCGTGTTTTGAAAGTACTTTTAGCTCATATAAATCATGGAATATTGAATATTGAATGTAGACTTCTTGACTTCCCTGATAAAATAGTAAGTATTCAGGACGTTTGGTTCTTGAAAACCACAGTGCTCATAGGAAGCTTTATAATCTAAGATCCCCCTTCCTTCAAATAGATCAACCAGATTAAATGTTTTTTCAGTGGACTCTCAAATCCTCCTGGGTCGTTCATTTCACACACCTTGGGATTTTAGATGCTGCATGTTTTAGAGAGTATTACATACACTATGTTACTTTTTAGTAACTAAATAGTAAACTTACCTTAAATATTAGTTTTAAATACCTTAAATATTTCTGTTAAATAGTGTAAGCAAAAGCATTGCTCTTATTTCATTAGATGTAATATGATGGTTGAGAACTATTCGATATGACATTTTAGAGAGTAATAAAATTTTAACTGTCAAAGTATGTATTTATTTTAATAAATCTTTAATTTTTAGATATTATTTTATGGGTATGGGCATTTTACCTGCATATATGCTTGTGTGCCATGTGCATGCCTAGTGCATGCAGAAGTCAGAAGAAAGCACTGGATCACCTGGGACTGGAGTTAACACACAGTTGTGAGCTAGCTACCAGGTGGGTGCTGGGAATTGAACCCAGGTCCTTTGGAAGGGCCACCAGTGCTCTTAACCACTAAGCCATCTTTCTGCCCTTCTTTCCTTTTTCAACACTAGGGATCGAGTCCATGCCCTCAGGCATGCTATGTTAGAGCACTACTGTGGAGCTGTATCCATAGACCTACAATTGATACTTTTTATTTTTATTAAACATGTGTGTATGTGTGTGTAGATGTGTAAGTTAGGGGACAGCTTTCAGGAATTGGTTCTCTACTATCGTGGGTCTTGGAGATAGAATGAGATTGTCAGGCTTGATGGCAAGTACCGTTATCCACTGAGCCATCTCTACTTATAGAATTTAATCTTGGAGCAGAATATGCAGAGGCAGGTAGATCTTTGTGAGTTCAGGGACAGCCTGGTTTACATTGTAAGTTTCAGATCAGTTAGGCTATATAGTCCTTACCCCCCTCCCCACAAAAGCAAACAAAAGTCATCATTGTTACTGTTATTTTAAACTGTTGGACTGGGAGGTCTAGCTGTTTAGTAGAATGTGTTACTAGCATGAGTGAGGCCCTGGGTTCAACAAGACTAAGAGTGATCCAGGGCTTCACAAAATTGCTTAGATTTTCTCATTTTTTTTTCTTTAAGTTTAGAATCTAAATTTAAGTATTTAAATTCCTTCATCTTATTCATCTTTAGCTTATCATTTTATTACATTTTGTGTATTTTGTGTGTGTGTGGGGGAATCCTAAGACAGCTTGCAGAAGTCGTCCTCTCCTTCCACCATAAGGTCCTCAGCTCTCCACAGCCCTTGCTCACCATTCCTGAAAGGATCTTCAATATTAGATGAGGGAAGTAAAATAATATGTGTGTGTGTTTAGCATATAAATGGCCACAGTCAGTGCTTCTGGGTTCTTTGCCTCTTTTATTTATATACTAGAGAAGTCTCAGCTTATGAGTAGTTCCGTCTTGGAAAGAGCAAGGTCACCTTTCCTCGGGGTGGAGCAGGGCTGGGTGGTAGGTAATATTGAGACTGGACATTCTGACTAAGAAAATGAAACAAGACTTTAAGAGATTGTTTTGTGTGTGTGTGTGTGTGTGTGTGTGTGTGTGTGTGTGTTTATAAACACTCTAAAAGGAATTTCAAGAGGATTTCAGAATGCTTTGGTTTTACTCTAACTATTGGAAGAAGAATATAGTCCTTTAAGAGATGACTGCTTAAGGGCACTGATTGTGTAAGTCTGGTTCACATAAAAAGGTAGAAACAAGGTCCTAGGAACTAGAAGGAAAAGGTGGTTGAATTGTAGGCGGGTTTGCATTGTAACCTCCTGGGAGCTGAGAGGAGGACAGCCCTTGAGAAGGTCAGTAGGTGCATAGTGTTCTGTTTTCTTTGGTGTACTTGGGCCTGAGATCACGATAAGTAGTAGAGGAGAGGTGTCTTAGTCAGCTTGTGTGCGTTTGTAGTGTAATTCCATAGTCTGGGTAATGTCTTCTCATAGTTGTAGAGGTTAGGAAGTCCAAGATGAAGGCATCTGCTGAGAGCATTCTTGCTGCATCACAACATGGCAGAAGTCATCCTGTGGGTGAGCGAGGATGTGGGAAAAGGGAATGAGAGGGACTCTAGAGAAGGGAGCCAAATTCTTCTTTTATTAAGATCTCATTGCTACAGCAACTAACCCACCTGCACAGTAATGCCATTGATCCATGAGGCTGAGCTCCCATGACCTAAATGCCTCTTCAAGTCCCTGCCACTCAATATTGTGTTGTATTGAGATTTCAGTGTATAAACTTTGAGGAATACATTCAAACAATGAAGGATTTTTAATCCTCTTCATTTTAGAAAACAGTAGGCTTGTGATTTGGTGGAGTATGTAAGCCCTGATATGGAGGAGACTTTTAGTGACTCATCTTCAAATGCTAGGATAAAGTTATCCTGATGTCAGATTACTTTTATCTCTATAGCTGTGGCTGCTATCTTGGTTGAACATAAAGTAACAGAATCTAGAAATAATAGACTTTAAGATTCAGATTACAAGGTAACTCTTCTAGCTTTAGGAATAAAACTGAGCCAGGCGGTAGTGATGCAGGCCTTTAATCCCAACACTCAGAAGGCAGAGGCAGGCAGGTCTCTTGAGAACTAGGCCAACCTCATTTACAGAGTGAGTTCCAGAACAGTCAGGGCTACACAGTCTTGAAAAAACAGCAAAACAAACAAACTCACTCTTTGGCAGTCTTTTCTGAAAGAAGTTTAGACAAGTGAGGATTTATTTTCTCGCATGTTGAATTGAAAGAGCCTTTCTAAGGCGGGTGGGGTGACTTCAGGACACCCTGAGGATCCATACCTCCTTTGCTTTTCTGATCACATAAATGCCAGTGTTCTTCATCCCATCCATCTTGCTTGAGGGACTGAGCAGTGGTAGCAGTGTCACCACAGGTCATGATCTGGGCCCTTTAGTTGAGCATATAGCCACTCCCAACGGAATCCTGTTCCTGTGCTTAGAAGGGACTGATAATTTATGTAAGAGAAAAATGTGACTAGTTAGAGCTTTCACAGCAGGTAGTTCCAATTAATTGGGTCAAAACCATCCTTTTTATTTGTCTTAACATATTTTTGCACATATTAAAATCTCATAGCATGGAACCCCTGTATGAATGATCTGAAGTGCAACACTGATGCCCAAACCAGAAAATTCTTCTGAGTCTGTTAAAAACTATTACCTAAAGTTAATGCATCCTCTGTGCTCCGATTCAGTTTCTTAGCTTTAGTTTTTTCTATGTTGCACGAATGACACTCGATGTGCAGCCATTAATCATGATAGGTTAGAAGAGGGCTACTATAAGAATATGCCAAAGGTGGGGCGGGGGGATATGAGTGATGGAGGCATGAGTGACATAGTAATTGATGCCTGTCATCCAGACTCAGAATCATAAATACAATGTTCTAAGCTAATTTGCTTAACAAGTAGTTATGTGCACATTACTTTCTTATGAATACTTTTTATTTAAATTTTTTCATATAGTATTTTTGATTGTGTATTTCCCCTCTCACACCTCTTCCCTGTTCCTCTCAGTCTTCCTGGCCTTTTGGCTTTACCTTCTTTCTCACTCTTTTTCTCTCTTTCAAAATAAGTAAGAAACAACAAACAAACAAGCAGACAAAAACACCTGCAAGAAACAAAACATCCCACAAAAGCAAAAGACAAGACAAACAGGCAAAAAACCAACCAAACAAACAAAAAACAAAACAAAGCAAAGTAAACGAGAAGCCCACAAAAATACCATTAATTTTGTGTTGGCCAAGTCCACCTGCCTTGGAGTGCAGTCAATAGACTCAGTGCCACTCATTGGATAAACCTGGTTTTCCCTTTGCCAGCTGGTACCAGTTGCAGATAACTTCTTAGCTGGAGGTGAGAGCTATGTCTGCTTTCCTCTCTTAGTTCTGTGACCCCATCTGGCTTAAACCTGTGCAGGTCTCGTGCATGCTGGCAGTTTCTGTGAGGTCATATTGCACATTGCTTTTTAGAATGGTTGATTATCAAATTCAATGTTCAAACAAACTTTCCACTTGGAAAATCTGTGTATACATGGTACCTCAATCTCTAATGAGTGCAGGGGACACCACATATAGTTTAATGTCACTCATAAGAATGCCTGCATTTCTGTGATTTGTTTTTTACTTCATTTAAATCAGTAGTTATGTTTAACTCTTTATCCTTATAGTAGCATTTGTTTACTGATTTTGAATGAACTCAAGTGCCTGAAACAGATTATTCATATTATAGTGGGAAAATTACATTTCTTTCTTTTTAAAGTATGCTTATTTTTATTTTTTATTTTATGTGCAATGGTGTTTTGCAATGGATGTCAGGTCCCCTGGAACTGGGGTTACAGACAATTGTAAGCTGTCATGTGGGTGCTGGGAATTGAATCCAGGTTCTCTAGAAGAGCAATTAGTGCTCTTAACCACTGAACCACCTCCCCAGCCCTGGAAAGTTACGTTTCTGACTTTGGTATTCATTTATTTCTCTGGAAATTGATCGCAGGGCCTTGCACATCTGAGGCATGTGTCCATCACTGAGCTGTGTACTCTAACTAGCTTATGACTTTTTGATCATCAGCAAACTGAGCCTATAGGTTCAAAGCTGTTGATAAATTCCATAACGACAGGGAATACGTCAGGGCTTTGCATACCTTTGTGAGCAGGTGAGTGTGGAGCTTCTCAGTGTTGGAGTGAGAGCACGTTATGCTGCTAAGCTCGCTGTGCTGTTTGTTTTCCAGTGTGGCCAGACACCGCTGATGATAGCTGCTGAACAGGGCAATGTGGAAATAGTGAAAGAACTGATTAAGAATGGAGCCAACTGCAACCTGGAAGATCTGGTATGCATAAAGCATCTACTCAGTAGCCCTTCTTTAATTTGTTCACCAGAGTGATTAAAGAAGAATAATTAAAAATTATACTTTGAAGGCTGGATGTGGTAGTTTGTGCCTTTAATCCCAATCCCAGTATTCAGGAGGCAGAAACAGGTGGGACTCTTGAGTTCCAGGCCAGCCTGGTCTACATAGAGAGTTCCAGGCTAGTCATGGCAACATTATGAGGCTCCTTCTATAAATAAATGAGTAAGTAAATAAATGAGCAAACGAGCAAATAAATATTTTTAAAAATGCTTTGAGATCTATCTCACCTTGGCCTAATTTGCTACATAGATTTTGTTGTTGTTTTTGTTTTGTGTTTTTAATCAAGAATTTTTTGCTTACAAGCAAGTATTTTGGTTCCTTCTTGTTTTTCCCTTTGTACATGGCAAGCCTGAAGCTCATATCTGTAAAATCAAGTGTCTTTACAATATTTCTATGTATGAGCTGTGCTGTTAATGACTCTATAATTGTAACTTATAGATCGTGTTATGCTTGATAATGGTTCCTTCTGATACTGTTTTTGAGGTACAAATCACCATCCTGTTTCCTTTGGGTTTCCCTGTATTCTTACAGTTACTTTTAGGATCACACAGAAGCAAGAATCTACATTCTTTTGCTCTGGGTGACCATTAGAATTTTTTTGTTTTGAAGACAGGGTCTCACTGTGTAGACCTTCCTCTGTCCCTCCAGTGCTGGGATTAAAAGCATATGCCACTGCTCGTCGTGTGATCATTTGAATTAATCACTCCCTAAAGCAGTGGTTCTCAACCTTCCTTCCTAATGCTGTGGTCCTTTAATACTGTTCCTCATATTGTGGTGACCCCCAACCACAAAATTATTTTTGTTGCTACTTCACAACTGTAATTTTGTTACTGTTACAAATTATAATGTAAATATTTTTAGAGATAGAGGTTTGTCAAAGGGGTTATTACCCAAAGGTTGAGACTGCTGCCCTAAATAAAAGTTAGGACAATTCTGTTCTTTATTTACAAAACAAGAGAGACTAGGTCTTTGTCACAAAACTTCTAACCTCCACACTTGCAGCAGCTGTACTTTAATACTGCATGCATGTGTCCTCACATTGGGTTACAGACACTTTAATTTGAGTAGCAGGTAGTAGCTGCAGGATTGCCCTCAAGGTTTATGGTGGTCTGCTTCTCTTCTTTCTACAAACCATGTGTGATGAGAAGTCCAGGGAGGAGCCTCGACCAGCGCCTGTGACACTGCTCTGTGTACCGTTATTCCTGACGTAGGCAGGTGACAGTCCTGATGCAGACAGGTGACAGTCCTGATGCAGACAGGTGACAGTCCTGATGCAGACAGGTGACAGTCCTGACGCAGGCAGGTGACAGTCCTGATGCAGGCAGGTGACAGTCCTGACGCAGACAGGTGACAGTCCTGACGCAGGCAGGTGACAGTCCTGAGGCAGGCAGGTGACAGTCCTGAGGCAGGCAGGTGACAGTCCTGAGGCAGGCAGGTGTCAGTTCTGAGGCAGGCAGGTGACAGTCCTGAGGCAGGCAGGTGACAGTTCTGATGCATACAGGTGACAGTCCTGAGGCAGACAGGTAAAGTCTTAAAGACAGCTTCCATGTTGTTCCAGGGAGGCTTAGCATGGCTCACATCCTGTCAGTTTGGTCATTTGGTATGTAAATTCAAGTGTATTCCACACTTTGGAATGTTGTTTCTTATTTTGAAATGTGCCATTTTGAATATTTCTCAAGGATAACTGGACAGCTCTTATATCTGCATCTAAAGAGGGCCACATCCACATTGTGGAGGAGCTGCTTAAGTGTGGGGCCAATCTGGAGCACCGTGACATGGTACGTGCATTCTTTTGCAGGGCGGCATTAGTTACTGAAAGTCACTAACAGTGATGGGGACATAGGAATCCTTGTCTGTACTTTATTTTTAAAATAGGGTCTTTTTGTTCTTCACCTTGGGGCTGGATGCTGAATGATTGAAGAATGTTTCAAATGCTGGTGTTATAGTGTCTCCTGTTTAGAATAGTCATCATTTCAGCTTGTTGAGGAATGAAGTTCTCAGCTCATTCTTAGATAGGTCATAACTTAGTATTTAAAACAAACTCATTTCATTTGGGTCAGATTTTAAGAGGTATGTCAGTTTAAAATGTTTTGGGCAAGTTATAGTCTTTGTAATATTTGTAGATTTTTTAATATAATCTGTGAAGACAACAGTTCTCATAGGACATGGCCTCCTGTTTGATCATGATCTGGGTAAAGCATAAAAGTGAGAAAAGGGATCATTTCTGTTTTATTCCGTATTTTTGGTGTCCCATAGGTTTGGGTATGTTGTGCCTTCATTTACTTACTTAAAAAAGAAAACAAGTTATTTTTTTTAAATTTTACATACTTACCAATCCAAGTTCCTACTCCCTCTCCTCCTCCCATTCCCTCCACCTTCCCTACCCTTACCACCATCTACTCCTCAGAGAGGGTAAGGCACATTGCTTTGGGGAAGGTCCAAGGCCCTCCCTACTGTATCTAGGCTGAGCAAGGTATCCATCTAAAGAGAATAGGTTCCCAAAAAGCCAGTACATGTAGTAGGGATAAATCTGCCAGTGGCCCCTCAGTCTGCCCCAGCCATGCAACTGTCAACCACAATCAGAGGGACTAGTTTAGTCCTATGCTTGTTCCTTCCCAGTTCGGCTGCAGGTGGTGAGCTCCCTAAATTAGCTCAGGTAGACTGTTTCAGTGGGTGTACCCATTATGGTCTTGACCTCTTTGTTAATATTCTCATTCCTCCCACTCTTCAACTGGACTTTGGGAGCTCAGGCCAGTGCTCCAATGCAGGTCTCTGCCTCTGTTTCCATCAGTTGCTGGATGAAGGTTCTATGGTGATATTTAAGATATTCATCAGGCCGGGCGGTGGTGGTGTACACCTTTAATCCCAGCACTTGGGAGGCAGAGGCAGGTGGATCTCTGTGAGTTCGAGGCCAGCCTGGTCTACAAGAGCTAGTTCCAGGACAGGCACCAAAGCTACAGAGAAACCCTGTCTTGAAAAACCCAAAAAGAAAGAAAGAAAGAAAAAAAAGAAGAACAAAAAAGAAAAACCCATCCATGAACATATCGGTGTGCATTGGGCACTATGGCCTTGTCCAGTGAGAGAACAACAACGCTTTGTAGAAGCACAAATGGGGTGCAGAGAAGGTCTTGTGTGGGAGCTTATGCTGTCGTGGGCTTTGAAAGACCAAGAGCCAGGAAGCTGGCATCATAAGTTTGAGGCCAGCCTGGGTAACACAGGGAGATTGTCTCAGGAAAAAAGAGGAACAATAAATAAAAGAAGATTTGAAGGCTGAGCTGAGCGGAGCCGTCCTGTCTGGTCCCTGGGCAGGTGGTAGTGTGGCCAGTGCATACATGGATGAGGCCGTGTGGGGAGAGCTGGGAACACTGCAAGTATTTCCTCTGGCTGGAGGCACTAAGGTTGGCAGGGCTCAGTGGAAAAAGATGGAGCCAGAGAGGCTTGCAGGGGTGCTTTGAACTTGCTTCTGGGAGCTGCAACTTTGTCCGCAAAGCAGTGGAAACTTTTAAATAGTGCCTCCCTGCTCCCCTTCCTTTAGCAGAGGCAAGATGTAGTTGGATTTTCATTTAAGAAATTAAATCTTTACCTTTGGAGGAGTGGCCATATTCTGCAAGGCCACTTTTGAATGTGTGCAGTTGACTGTGTAGCAGGCACAAAACAACAGATGAGTTAGTTTGGGGCTCTCTGGTACCAGTTCCCTTCTGTTTATCTTTTCGGTA